ATACATGAAACAGGCGGTGGGCACTAACTGAAGGTATGCAGCTCAGAACCGAAGGGCCTGGCGTAGCTACTTTCGGCGTGTGGGAGCATGCTAGCAAAATCACTAAAAGGGGAATCCTATTTTGGCATCCTTCGTATTTTAACAGCAAAAGTTCAAAAATTGCGTCAAAATTTTTTGTGCTAACGCGCAATTGTGTGCGTGGACCTGCATATTTAGAGAGCACTGCGCGAATTAGAGAAACGTGGCACGGAACCCGCCGAACCACACCATTCCTACAAACGCATAAATGCGTTTACGGTACATAATGAGAACTGCTCACAGAGTGATTTTCAAAGGCTACTGACCACCAGACCTGATAAACAGGAATTCCTGCAGCTGGAGGATGTAAGGCTAGCCAAGACCACAGTGAGTTGGAAGCTCCCCAGTTCTCTGATCTCAGAACGGACAGCACTGCGTCTGCGCGAAAATTCCAACTCGGCAGCTGGTTTCTTTAATCGGCTTCAGTTCATAGCTTGTCTCTTCGAAACTGCAGCTGTCAATTTTCCCCGTTGCTTTAAACAGTGCCGTATCACTTCGCTCGTTTTACGCACTTAATGAAGTATTAGCTCAACGATCCCTTCGAGACGCGAACTCCACCAAGCTTCAGCACTTACGAAATCTCAAGAAGCATGCCGAATAAGACCACAAGAAATATGTGTCACTAGTGCATCAGTAAATGCCTACCATAATGGGGCAACATTTATTGGTAGCATATTCATTCCACAGAGGTAACAAAAACGAACAAAATTTGTCAGTCTAGGAGACAAGCGCAGATGCAGTGGATGACTCGTACTTCCATGTTGCCGGCAACTGACGCTTGATTTTGTAATAACGTGCCAATCGATGAATTCGTGATTCAACCAAAATCAACCGATACTTTGAGTCTTTATCCTGAACCACAAAAATTATATCAATTTGCCGAAACCCGTCATTATATGGAGAATGCTTAAAAACAGAGTCCAAGAATCCGTATTCTAAAAGCGTTAAACTCAAAACCGTTTCCTCGATTCAGGAAACAAGTTTTCAGCTCAAAAGTACAGTGTTTAACATGCTGGCAACAACAATCCTTTGACTATCCTCTGAAAATCGCCAGGATTTAACCATCTTTTTCTGACAAAAGCCTCTGATTCAGTCACCACTTCTCCGTTACTCTCAAGAAAGCCGATTATCAGGCTCGGTCTTTATGACTGTCTTTAAAGTCAGGTCGACTGGTATCATATTTCCAACCATTTACATCATATTTAAGGGTAAGCAAAAATGCGACTAGAAAAAGTAAAAGAGGTGATGAAGTAAATGATGAACAAGTGAAAATATAAATGGAAATAATAAATTAGGTAAGAAATGTTTCGGTCCATTAAGTCATATATTATGCCCCTGCATGAAGTATGGTAGCCGCGTGTTAAGAAAGGCGTTCTGAGTTCAAAAAAATACACCAGCTGTTTCCAAGCATGTCAACAGCCTCCTGCTTTCTCTGCTAAAAGTCTCCAGTACCTGAATCATGAAACGCTGGAATTTCGTCGCATTTTTATCGATCTGTGATTACTCACAAAATTATTAATGGGCCGACCGCTCTACTGGCGATCACTTTTTCAGTGTCGAGACAGAACTATCTCTAACTCTCGAATTTTTCAAAAACTGAAATCAAAATTGTTTCTGCACTCGGCCGCCTTCCCGCATTACCTAAATGCGCCAGACAGTCGTTTATTTAAAGAATCCCTCGAACGGAAGCATTTCCTTGTTCTC